AGTTCAAGCCGGCACCGCCCCCTCTCTGTTCTCTGATTGGCCGGGCTCTCGTTTGTGGCGGCGGGATCCCGGGGGGAATCTTCTGGAAGGTTGTGACGTCATCGGGGCGCCGCGCGTTAAGCGCTTCCCCCTCCCCACCGACAGCCCCACTGGGGTGCCGGCACCTGCGTGGGGATGGGGTTAACCCTCCCCTCGCTGTCTCTGCCGGCACAGCCCCCGCTGCCAGCCCCGCCGGCTGCTGCCTCCTGCGTGGGGACGGGTCAAGACCCCCTCAGTGTCTCCCTATATAAGGTGTCCCCCCCCTTTGCAATGCCTACGGGTTGCTGCCTCCCACGTGGGGATGGGGTCAAGCCCCACTCGCTATCCCCCCGGACAGGGTCCCCCGCTTCCAGCCCTACTGGGTGCTGGTTGCAGGGTGGGGATGGGGTCAAGCCCCGCCTTGCTGCCTCCCCTATAGAGGACCCCCCTTTCCAGCACCACTGGTGTGCTCACACTGGTGTGGGGATGGGGTCAAACCCCCCTCAATGTCTCTCCATATGGGGTCCCCGATTTACAATCCTATGGGGTGCTGGCTCATGGGTGGGGAGAGGGTCAAGCCTAAACTCCCCAGCGTCTCCCCATATCAGATTCCCCCTTTCCAGCCCCAGTGGGGAATTCACACTGGTGTGGGGACAGGGTCAAGCCCCCCAGTGTCTCCCCAGGTAGGGTCCCTCCTTTCCAGCCCCACTGGGGTGCTCACAGTGGTGTGGGGATGGGGTTAAGCACACCCCCCTCCCAAACCCCACAGTCCTACACGTGGTGCCCCATTTCAGGGATGCCCCAATGAGGGGCTCAGTGAGGAGCTGTCACCTGCATGGGGCAGGATTCACACCCCCACCCCCACCACACAGCCCCATCGGGGTGCCTGCCCCTGCCTGGGGTGACCCAACACCCCTTGGCCCTGGTGTCTGCCTCAAGCGAAAGCAGGTTAACCCTTTCCTCCTCACCACCAGCTGTCCTGGGGGATACTGTCACCTCGACTGGGGACAGCGGTTAACCCCTTCCTTGCTGGCCCCTCCGACCCCATTACTGTCATCTGGAGAGAGTGGAGTGGGGGGGTGGGGTGGCGGTGGGGTTACCTACTCCCTCACCAGCCAGTTCAGCTGCACTGGGATACACTGGTACCCCCAACCGGGGTGGTGGTATTAACCCCTTCCTGGCCACACCACACAGCTCTAACAGGGCACATTGTTGCCTCCAAAGTGGGAGGGGAAGGAGGGGTTAACCCCCCTCACCACCCTCTCCAGCCCCACAGGGTTGTACTACAGCCCCCGGGGGGGGACGACGGGGAGGGCGAGGTTAACCCCTTTCTCCCAGCCCCACTATTACTGGTATGGGGCAGGGGGATTAACCCTTTCCTCCCATCTCCTTCAGTCCCACGGGGACACGCAGTCACTAGGCAGGGCAGAGCAGTTAACCCTGACCCACAGACCCGCCAGGAAACCCTGCCACAGGGGCAGAGCCACCAACCCCGCCTTCAACCCCACAAGGACACGGCGTCACCCCATGGGTGCAACGAGGCTAGTGGCTGGCCTCTGTTCCTCACACACGTAGGGGCAGAGGGGTTCACTTCCCCTTCCCTGCCCCATAGCCATACCCTGCCACCCCATGGGGTGGGGGGCTGAACCCCCAGCCCCACAGCAACACTCTGTTACCCCACAGGGAAGGGGGACTGAGCCCCCCAGGGACACTGTCACCCCACAGGGAAGGGCGACTGAGCGCCCCAGCCCCACAGGGACATTGTCACCTCACAGGGAAGGGGGACTGAGCCCCCTAGCCCCAAAGGGACACTCACCCCACAGGGAAGGGGGACTGAGCGCCCCAGCCCCACAGCAACATTCTATCACCCCACAGGGAAGGGGAACTGAGCACCCAGCCCCACAGGGATTGGGGGCTCAACGCCCCAGCCCCACAGCAACATCCTGTCACCCCATGGGGCGGGGGAACTCACCCCCCCAGTAAGACTCTGTCACCCCACAGAGAAAGGGGACTGAGCCCCACAGCCACACTATGGGGCAGAGGGACTGATCCCCCCAGCAACACCTTACCTCATGGGGCGGCGGGACTGACCTCCCCAGCCCCACAGGGACATTTTCACCCCACAGGGAAGGGGGACTGATACCTCCCCCAGCCCCACAGCAACACCCTGTCACCCCACGGGGCGGGGGGCCTGACACCCCATCCCCCCCCGGGACACTGTCACCGCAGGGGGCGGAGGGGCCGCG